CAGATTTATTTTTAAATAAATACTGGATTTCGTTCCGTGATTTTCCAACAGCCAAGTTCAAGTCTTCATTTCCAAGGGCTTGCAGGGCCACAGAATTGACTGCAAACTGGGACATTACGGAAGGAGGCTGCAGGAATTTTCCTCCAACTGGATAATTCCTTTTGGTAATTTTAAAACTTTACTTTAGTTCACTGCACTGAAGAATCCCGAATTACCTGGAATCATCCAGGTAAATATCTAATTACTGAAGAAAATCTTCTGGTCTTGTTTATACCACCATTTCTAATTTTCTCTGCTAAGTCCCTTATTTAAGAATAAATTTGTTAAACCTTTTCTTAGCTCCAGTTTTCATTTGAAATCCCAAAGTAGCAAAAGCAAGAAAATCTTTCTTTATTTCTTTAATTTCAGGCAGTGCTGCAGTGTCTGCCCTGCCCTGTGAGGAGCATCTCAGAGCACAGTGCCCCACATCAGGCATCACTCCCAACCTCTCTCTCACCTAAACAAAGAACCCCTGAGCTGGATTTCCTTATTCCCCTTCTCCTCACAGCCCATTTTCCTTTCCCACCTTCTCACATTACTGTCCTGGCGTTCTCCTGCGTGTGATATTTATATAGTTCTTAGCTGTAAATGGATTTCTTCTGGACCTGGAGCGGGCTGGGAATTGTGTTACACTTCAAGGTGACTTTCCCTCTCAGGCAGCAAAGTCTTGGCTCTACCCTGGCGGGGTCAGATGATGCATTTTGACTCTTAAACAAGGAATTTCCTTGTAACAAGTTGTTACTATTGACCTAAAATGCCTGCCAGTTTCTGATGATGTCACTTTGGGGTCCAGCACTTTCATCCAAGCAGGTGAAAAAAAAAATCCATCAGCATTTTACCCTGGAATTGTTGGTGGTTGGTTTTTAGAAAACTGGAGCTTCTGGGGTTGTCACAGATGTCCCCTTTGCTCCTGGGGTGCAATCCTGACATAATTCTGAAAGAGGAATACAGATTAAATCCATATAATTTACCTGTTAAGCTTTTTGAGCTTCTGTTTCAGCATTATTAATACTCCCCTAGCAAGGAACCTCTTTCTAAAGGCTCAGAGGTTCTATTTCATTTGGATAAACATTTCACATCATCTCCAAAGTGCAGCCAGAATGTTTTTGTGGGGAAATTTCCCCCCTTCTTTCTTTAGGAACTGTGGAGATGAAGGAATTGTGTCAAGACTCTGCAGCTCAGTCTCAGTCCCTGCATAAACTCCCCTGTGCTGTTGGAGAGGGAGGGTTGGTGTCTGAATGACAATTCTATTTTTCTGTGAAAGATTGGTTGACTTTACAAACTTCAAGTAATATTTTTTCAACTGGTTTAAGGAAAGAATTCGGGTTTGTACCTTAGACAAGTGACATTTTAACTTGGGTCCCACTGCAGCCCAAACATAAATAATATTGGGGAGGGGAGATCAAAACTACATTAACTCCATCCTGAAATGACTTGTGTGAGTACTCCCTTCTTCACATTATGTGGCATTTTTTGATTAACCTGTTTTGTCCCCTTTAATTTCTTTGTCTGGACAGTAGGACACGGTGAAGAACATTTTTAGTGGAGTTATGGAAGGTGATGGACCTGACTCACAATGACTGAAACATCATCTTCGTAAAGGTCAGTCACAACAGAAGTGTCCCAGCTTATTTCAGCATCTCGGAGAGGTGAGAATCTGTGCAGGAACGTGGGATCCAACAGGGATAACACTCCATGCAGCAGGAAAGAATTCCACAGGATCCAGCCAGACTTTTGGGGGCATGTTTCTTGTCCAGGCCCCTGGTGTGGGTGTGCCTCTCCCATGGCCTTTTATTGCCTGCCCCGTGAACTTCTCCAGGCAAGAGCAGAGGGGTTGGAAACTGCCTGGCATGTTGTGGATATTACTGGAAATACCTGGGGAAAAAAAAAGGATTTCATGGTTTTTAGCACGAGGGAAACGTCTTACCAAATTTGCTGTGGAAAGTGCTGACTGATGGGAAATCTGCTTATGTTGGACCTGGGATCTGAGTGTGTTAAACCTTAACAGAAAAGAAGACATGCTGCTGAATTCACCCTTCAGGGGAAATGGCTGGGAGGTTGGGGCCTGTTGCTTAACAGAGGAAGAAGCAGAGCACAATAAAATTCTGAACATCTTCCCCCTTAGGCCTGGGGGGCTCCAAACCCTGGGAGAAGGTTTGTTCTTGCTGAGTGCTGGGTGTGATAATGTTGCACTCAGTGCTCAGAAAGCAGCTGTCAGTGCTGACACTGGGATAGGGCTGGGAAGTGGAGGGGAATCCACAATCCTGAGGAACTTCTGGCTCCTCTCTTGCTTTAAAAAGTGTTCAGAGAAGCACCTTTCCTGCAGCAGTGAGGAGGACAAGTAGCATCCTGCTGCTTGGGATGAGCTGTGGCAGCACACAGGGCTGGAGCTGTGCTTCTGGGAATGCTCTTGGAGCATGTGGGATGTGGGGCCTGGTTGTGTGAGTCCATGGATTTCTTGGGGGATGGATGTACTTGGTACTCTTGGATCCTCCCGTTCCGGTAAATTATCTGTTCTAAGGTTCTGCCACCCAGCTTTAAATGTTGCTGCTTGCTTCACGTTATGCTGCAGTTCATTTATTTTGGTCTCTTGCTTGGCTGGGACTGCAGCACAGTTGTGACACAATTGGTTGCATCTCAGCCAGGAGGAGGAAAAAAACCAGTGTTTTTGGATGTCACCAACTACCACGTGAGTTCAAACAAACCTTAACTCACAGTCCCCAAGTGCTGTAATTTCTGACAAAATAGATGGAGTTTCTTGTTAGCTCTTCATTTACACACCAGTCCATGGTGAGAGAAAGTGAATTTATGTGCACATCACCTCTAAATCCTTCTATTGTAATTCTTTTTAAAAAAACAGGGGAAAAGACACAAGGGAATCAAGTTCATTGGAGGGGCAAAAAACACTGATGGCATGAGGTGTCCATTATGCATAGATATGACTGTATTAACTGCTTAAGGGTTTACTTTCTCTGAGATTCTGAAAGTTTGGCCAGCAAACCTAATGAGAATTTTCCTTTTCACGTTGAGAACTGGAGCAGATGTTGTTTGTAAACATATTTTACAACACGAGCTGTCGTTTCACTCCAGGTTGTTTTCCTAGTGCTGGTTTTTTGCATGGCTGGAGTCTTCTTGTTGTAGCAGATAGGTCACCTCTGAGATGACTGATGGCACAGAACATTAGAGTGTTTTTCTGCCCCGAACAGCCAAGGACAAAGCACAACAAAAGCATTATGAGCAGTCCCACCCAGCGGTGCATGTTTGTGATCATTACACACAGGGAACACAGTGTGTTGTCTCCAACTTCAGCACTTCTTAACTGTGACCACAACTGCATCCAAATGGTTTAATATTTCCCATTTCTAATACCTCTCAGTTGAACACCATTTAAAGGGACATATTGACACAAGAAATTCCATGAAAAAAAAAAAAAGCTAACCAGAGATTTTATTTATTCTGCTTGCAAAAAAAAAAAAAAAAAAAAAGGTATGTTAATACATAGTGGAGTGTACTAAACTTTAATGCTGCAATTCAGAACTGGGGGGCTGTTTTAAAGTGCTTTATACCATTGACTCTCCCTCTTTAACTGCAGAGGTGGAGGCTGTTAGAACTTGTCTCCCTTTCAGCTCAGTAATTCGGTGTTTACTTCCCTCGTGTCTCCAGGATCCTGAGGAGGAAGCACACGCTGCATTTGTAATTTGAGTAGCACTCTGCAGTCCTGCTCTTTTTGTCATGCAGGGAGACTCCCTGCCTTTATTTCACGGCATTTGGAGTTTCTGAGCACCAAAATAAATTATTTGGCAGGGAAAAAAACCCCGAAATCTGTCTGTGATAAATGTGAGCCTGGGTTATGTTTAGAATGATGATTTATTCGCTGTAGAGATCATGTTTATTTAATTTAAACTTCTGACAGGTTTTTTAGGACGTGACCTTTTATGTTTCCCGTTACTTAAACAAGACAGCTCATTGCTGATGAGGAGAACTGAAGGCTCTGATTTACAATTTGCTCAGTCTTTGCAGCATCTTACATTTACAGGTGTTTAGCAACGAGTTAAACACTTGAATTTAAAGGTTGTTTACAGAAATAAAGAAAACAGCAGCAGAACTTCCCTCTCGGGTGTCTGTGGGTGTGTCTGACAGCTCACACCTTTGCCAGATTCATCTCCATCAGGATGATTAATCACAGGGTTTTGATGAATTGCAGTGTGGCCAGAGATGGTAAGTCTTGGTAAATATTACCAAATCTGTGAGGGGTTTTATTGTTATTGGGCTGAAAATATTGAGGGTTCATATTAAAGCCGCAGTTCCTTTGGTGCTGATTTATTTATGCAATTGGAAACTAGTAAGAATCTAAACCCCTGAGAAGCTACCACCAACACAGTAAATAAAATGATACCTCGTTAAAAGAATAATTTTAGCAGTGAGTCCAGTGGTGGGCACAAACATGGGGACTTATTTTATAGGAAAAATATTTTTGCCAAGAATCCTGCGTTACTGGGAGCGTGGGAAGTCTGTTCCAGATGCTTTGCAATTGTACCTGATATTCCTGGATCTCGAAGTCTGTCGCCAATATGGGTTATCCTGGCTTTTTTATTCGCTGTCAGTCACAAAGAGGGAACACACGCAGGCTGGGGGAAGGTCACTGTTGCAGATTAAAGCCTCTGCGTGAATGAAGGAGCCATCACAATTCTTTACGGTGGCTTGGCGTGAGTTCTGATAACGCAGAGGTCTCTTTTGTTGTTATTTTAAAACACAGCAGACTAAACACAAGCCACCCCCCCGACAATGGGGCCGGGCTGTGAGGGCAGTGTGTGCGATTGCTGGGCACAGCTGGAGCTGGCAGGTGAACACCAGAGCTCCTGCAGGCACGAACCTTCACGTTCCTGCTTACTTGGGTTTTTTCCCCCTCTTTAACTACATCTCATATTTTAACTGCAGATAACCCTAACACTCACAAAATGTGCTGTAAAACTCCCACCGAACGGCAGTTTTTGCTGTATTTTATGTGAAGCCGACCCTGTGATGTGTCAAGACGTGGAAATCAAGGCAGATGTTCCTCGTGTTCTTCAGGCTTGTGCTTCAAGCACCGAGTAAGTTCCACACCAAGGAGGAACTCGGGACATTTTCCTGGTCAGCTTTTCTCTTACCAGCCATCAAACGATCTGCAGCATCGTTGCCTGGCACACTGAAATCCACCCACGCTGCTTTCCACAGGTATTGATCCTTCCGAGCTCCCTGTTTGAGGTCCTGCTGCTCCTCTTTGAAGTCACTGAGTGCTCTTAGTGCACACAAAAAAATGCAACCAAAGGAGGCTTTCACCTGCCCTGTCCCCAAGGAAACATCAACAGCTGGGGGAGGCCTCATTATTCAGAGATGATTACTTTCACTTTGATGTTTCTCAGTGCCTTTGCTGGCTTATTATAATCAGCATGACCATAAAATAAAATGATTTCGGGTTAATTCGGGTGGGTGGATGTTGTCACTGGTTCGGTGTGGATGGAGTTCACTGAGATTTTGAAGTTTTTAAGTTACCAAATAGTGAAACAGAACTGCTATCACAATATCAGCAACTGCTTGAAGTGATAAAAAGCCTGGCTGTTACGCCAAAATATGTAAATGCAAGATGTTCTCCCAACAAACTGTTGAAATAAAATAACAATAAGGAAAATCTCTCAAAGAGAATTTTAAAAGGAAATCATGAAAACGTCAGCTGGACTCGATTTTTCTACTTGAATTTCTGCCAAAATGATTCGATTTTATGTCATTTCCTTTTCTGTCCAATTTTTGATTCTGACAACCGTGGAATTTCCTGTTTTGTTTTTATTTTGCTACTGCAGCTAAACCCCCCAGCAGCCGAGGTCACTGCAGAAACCCAAACTGTGAACAAAACCCGTGCCCTGCCTTGTCTGCTCTTTCCCTTTGTAGTGCTTTAGTGTTTCCAGAGCCTGCCTGTTCACTCATCCTCACCTTCCTTGTCCTGTTTCTGTTGGCAGTGCCTGTTCCAGCCGGGGGGGTGTATTTTGAATTATCTGCTGTCCTTACTTGAGGAGATCTGTTCTGCTCTGTTCCTTGGTGAGTACCCCTGCACAGCGATTTTACTCAGGCTGTGTGATTTTCCCTTCTCCAAACACTTGCAGCAGTCCCTGCTACAACTGAAGCAGGAATTGGGTGGGTTAGGACGAGTTTTAGTTGCACCTCCTCCAGCTCTTCCTGCAGCTACAGGAACTCCTGTCCCACTTTTTTCTTCAAGGGCAACAGGGATGGTGTTGGAAATACGTATTTGTTACGATATAATTTAAATATGGATGTTTGTCTACCAGTGTGAAAGCAACACTTGGGAGGAGGAGACTTTGAAATGGAACTGTTAAAAGATCAGAATTTGGAGATTTACACCAATTAGTGCAGTGGAAAGTTTAAAGTGGAGAGTTGCACCTGGATAGTGTTTGAAGGAATTTTGAATAAATAACACCTGTTTGGGGAAATATTTTATGCTGTCAGTTGTTATTTTGAGTGTTTATGGTGTAGAAAGGACTATGGAATAGGGGAACAGAGTAAGTCTTGAAAATCCCCCACAAAAGATACTAAACAGCCCTGTGAGCAGCCAAAATTTCAGAGGGATCTCCTCACTTTGAACCCCTAAATTTACATGGTTGGTCTTTTTTGCATCCGTGTCCCTGCTCTCCAAGTGTCTGGGACCAGTGATGACAACGGGACTGTAAAAGCTGGGTGAGAAGAATGCACTAAAAAAAAAAAAAAAAAAAAAAAGCTGCTTCTGAAGGAGTTTTGGTTTTAAGTGCTTGGGAAATAACAGAAAGGTGCCCTGCTGGGTTGTTGGGCTTTATCAATCACTTGTAAACAGCCTTAAGCCCTTGGTGCTGAGGAATCAGAGTATTTTTCTTTTTGTGCTATTTTTAAACACGGAAGATTCCTCTCTGCCTAGCCAAAAAAAAAATATTCTTAATGTGTTAGGTGGAGAAAACATCAATCTGCTGATTACTGCCTGTGTATTAATTAATGCTTAATAGGTCATTTCCATAACAGGCATGTTATATTCTTATTCTGTAGAGGAAAACAGTAATAATTGTGAGTTCTCTCAAAACTGGGGATGTGTGTGAGAGAGTGAGGGCTGGGTTAGACAAGCTGTGATGCCCCACATCTCAGCTGGGGCCAGCCAAGTCAAATAAGGGAATGAGGGAGGGTGAGAAGTGTCTGATCACTGCAGGCACTGCTGCCAACACCAAGCAGGGCAGCCCTGCTAAAGTATCCAACGATTTGGGATCCAGGATTCTGCAGCGCTGGGAGTGGCAGCAGCGTCCAGTGCCTTAATCGGGAGATTTTGGGAGGAAAGGTGAAGACATGCAGTGGGAAGGGGGTTTTGTGGTTGCTCTAGTATGATTAACATCATCCACTTCCAAATTTCAGGGCTGATCCTTGGCTCCATTTATCCCATTTATTCTTGTTTGACCTTCTGGAGCCCGGAGGAGGCAGCTTTGGCTCTTTGCCTTGTGTGTCAGGATTAGTGACAAGCAGCATCTCCCAAACTCCTCGAGGTCTGGGTAGTTCAGCAGAATAGTTTAATCACAAGGAAGTAGAAGATCACTGAGCCTGAATTGTTCTGTCGTTAAAAACGAGTTTGAGAGCATTTTGGTGCAGTTTGGTTCGCTTGAAAGAGGACACTGAGAACTTCTTAGTGCTTGTTACAGTGTGAGGGAAAAGGTCTGGGAAGACAGATTGCATTCCTGAGAGCTGTGGAAACAATTACATAATTAGGCTGTGTTTAATAATTGTTTACAAATAGGCATTGTCTTCCTTTCCAGAACTTGCTTCTCAGTTGTTGGCTTTCAGGGTTCTTGTATCTGACATAAAATAAATGGAGCTGAGCTCCACTTCCATTTGGGGCTTTATTGTGCTCTGGTAGATTCCTAATTCCCATTCCTAAAATGTTGAAACAAGAAGGTGTTCCGAGGTTTTTAAAATAAAACTGGAGGGAGAATTTAGGAGGGAAAGCTGTGTGGATGACTTGCATTCATTGCTGACTGTTGAAAAAGTGGGTTTTTTATTCCTTTAGTCTCTTATAACATTTATAATATATTCCGAATGCTGATTTGTTATTTGAAAGTCACCTTTATTGTTTCATGGTCAAAACCTTCCACACTTCAGCAGCCAATCCTTTTCCCTTTCCCAGCTTGCTTTGTTCAGCAATTCCCTCTTACTTGCAGCAAAGTTGGAAATGTTTGCTGTCTGAGGGAGGGGAATGGTGTGGAGAGCTGTCAGTCAGGTATCTGATCAAAGATAATGGATGTGCCAGAAATCCCGTCAGAGTTCCCAGCTTGGGCACCTGCAATGAAATATAAAATGGGATCCTCTTTTCATTAAAAGAGGAGGGGCTGCAGCCCCATCTTCTGTCAGAAGCCTGGGTGGAAGAAACATTTCCCCACGGTCTGCCACTGAACAGAAAAATCCAGTGGAGGTGTGAAAGGCACTGCAAAGCAGATAAATATTTGGACTGACTCTGGCTGGCTTTGAAATGGGGTCAAGCAGGATCAGCCAACTACCACGGTAATGTGTTGAGTTCAGTAATACACCAAAATTACCGTGCCAGGAAATGAAAAGCTGGCCTCCAAATAGCTCTGATGCATTCAGCATCAGGCAAGAAGGGGAAAAAATCCAAGTTAAACCGTAACACGTTTCTCACCCAGAAAAGTTATTCCATGATATTTTTTGAGTGTAAACCCCATGAGCTGATTTTTGGAATCGTCACCAAAGTACAGGCCTGTGTCTGCATGTGAGGCTGGGTCTGGTCCCAACTCCAAATTTCAGTAAATTACATATTAAATCGAGGTGTGGGTTGGTTTTGTTTGTTTGTTTTTTTCTGAATTTATTGCCACATATTGAACTTCTGCTGTCTTTAACTTTTGTGTCTTCAACTGGGAATTCTGTGACAGCAAGAAGAAGATGAAAGGAGGAAGTTTGGGGACAAGGTGTAATTAAGGAGACACAGGCACCTTCCTGCCCCTCTTCAGGAAGCTCAGCCTGGTGCAATTTGGCTTTTTGAAACACTTTCTAGTACTTACAGGGTGAAAGATGTTTTGGTTGCCATGTCTGGGAAACACTGGGGTGAAAATTACCCTGAAAAGTCCTTTGCAAGTGAAGTTTTCCTTTGTTGTATCACCAGAAAATGCCGTGTCAGGGAATATTTGCACCTGCTGTACCTCCTGTAACTATCCCAAACTCAGCACCGGATTTTGTGTTCCTATTTTCAAAAGCCATCTTGCTAAATGGACACAGGGAATGCTCCCTCTGGAAGGGGAAGTGAACAGCATTAGGGAAGCACCCTGAACTTGGCCTGTTACATCACTGAGGGACAGGGAAAGGAGGGAGATAAGAGAAGGGAATAAATCAGCATGGATTTTGTATGCAGGGCGCTGACTTTTTGAACTCTCCTGAAGGCTCTTTGACGTGTGAATCACCTGAGGGGGAGCTGGAACCGCTGCAGGGAGAATTCATCCCTAAGATGGGATGGTTAAAGCGGAGGAAAACACCCTCGGTGGTGCAAGCTTTGAAAGAAGTGCCTGCAAAAATAGCTGGCAAAGCAGGGGTTTTGCAGGGAATTGCGACCAGACTCGTGGCTCTGCTGCCAGGTTTGGAGGCCGTTTATAGAAGCTTGGCAGCCCTGCAGGAAAAAAGAGCCAAGGAGCTGTTACAGCTTTCGAGAAAGCAGGGGAAACAAAGAGGAGGAAAAGCCCCACAAAGCTCCTGTTTGGACGCTCCGTGTGTGGTTACGCTGAGGGTGTTTGGGGCAAAGAAGGGGAGGAAAAAAAAAGAGTTACAACTTCATAATTCCTCCCTCCCCCCCCCAATCTTTTTTAATAATTCAGCAGCAATGCACTGCAGGACTTGTCTGGGCTTAAACCTGCCTTTTTTAATTAAGCTGGGCATTTTAATTGATGTTACGATACCTGAGTGTGTGCGAGTGTTTAGTGCTTGGTGTGAGTTTTTGTGCCCCTCTAAGCTCCAGAGCAGATTTAACTGGGCTGGTGAGTATTCCCAAATATATTTGGAGAGTCTAATTTACCAGCCTTTCACATTCTCTCACCTACTGTGTGTGTGTGTGCATGTGTGTGTGTAAATGGTCTGTTTTGGGAAGTGTGTTGTGCCTGACAGCTCATTTGGGATTATTCATGGCTGTGGAGATTGGTTCTGAAACTGTGTAAGCAGCAGGAAGTCTTGTTCTGTCTTGATCTCTGAGCCTTTTCTTGATTTATGTTGACTTCTGGGGAACCAGGCTGGAATTCCTGGGAAAAGGAATTGCTTATGTTTGACATTATCTGTGTGCATATAGAGGCAAACCAATCTGGAACGTGTCATTGATTTCTCCCCCAGCGTGAGACTGGCAAAATTACAGGTTCCTGCCTGGCAAAAATGCTCACAATGATGTCAGGACACACAGGCACCCACCCCATTTATATATAAATATATATATATATATATATAAAAAAAATGAAGGAAGTGGTAGCTACATTAAATGAAGTGGCTTTTTGGAGAGAAAAGCAATAACAAATCTCAATAAACGATACAGAGCTCCTCTAAAAGGATAATAAAAACGTAAGAGGGTTGAAGTGCAGGGTATTTCGGTGCTATGATTTAAGAGTGCGAAACCCATATGAGAATAAATATTTAGAGCTGGAAAAGTTGTAGCTGCAGTGAAGGTTATTGCTTGAGAGCAGATGTAGAGAATGGGGAAAAAAAAAAGGGCTCAGCACTCGTGGATCTTGTGTTTATGCACGAGGGGGGAGTTTGATTTGTAGCAATGTGGGGGTTTTGTGCCTGTTTGTGGTAATGCACATTAATGCACCCAGTGTTAACTAATAAAAGGACATAATGCTTTATACTGCAGATGCACAGCAGGATGTGCACCCAAAAACAGAGCAGGTGAAAGCAGTAGTAGCCAGTTCCCTCATCTGGGTGGTTTGAGCAGAGTTATTTCAGCGTGCAGGTGAGGAGCAGATCTTCATCTCCTCCATGCGAACAGGTAGATTTGACTGGAGGCCATTATTTCCTTTTGCCTGTTGTATATTTATTCAATGAGCATTTCGGGAGGGGAACTGAGAGGAAAGCAGCTGTGAGAACTTGATTTTGTTTTCTCAGATGTTCCAGGCCGGGCTGCCAGCACCATCAGAAGCGATCGCCTTGCCGGTGGTTTCCTTGAGTCACCAGCAGAGCTGCTCCAAAGGAGGTGTCTCGTCTCATCCACCGGGAAAGGCACCATTCACACTGCTTTGGGAAGCAGCTCCATGGTTTGCTTCCCCACAAGGTAACTCCACACTCAGGCTGCCTCAGGACTCGGAGCGGGACCTCAGCCTCGATCATGGAATGCAGAAAACAGCTGTTTTGCCTATAAATAACCCAGGAGCCTCTTCTCCCGCCAGGCTTTTTTGGCAGATATAGCTGCAGGAAACGAGCTGTCACGGTGCCTGGAGTCGGGGTGTGCGGTAGTAGCGGGACTCACACTCTGAGGGACGAGGGTCACCCTGGGATCGGGTTTCAGCCTGATCGGTGTCACGTTGTGGTGACACCGCTTGTGCTGCAAGAGTTAAACCTGTCATCCTCTCTGCTCCTGATCCCCCGAGTGCCCGAGGTTTAGAACCTGGGGAGAAAGCAGAACTCCACCGGACTCGGCCAAAAACATCTCCACGCACCGGTGATTGTTGTTTCAATCCCTTTGCTGTTCCAATCTTGTCACAAAGGCTTAAATATTTTTTTTAATACAACTTAACAGAGAATTTTACTGTGGGGCTGGAAATAGCTGTTTGATCTCCTGGATCGATTTCCTTTTTTTTTTTTTTTTTGGCTTCGTTTTGCGGTTTGGTTTTGGTTTGTTCTGTGTGTTTTTTTCCCTTCTTTTCCGTGTGATTCCACCGGGAAGCAGCAGTAGGAATTGCGCTGATGGCTCAGTCCCTGGTGGCAGTCTCTCAGTGACCGGCTGGTTCGGGTGGCTCTGCCCAGCCCTTGGCACTCACCAGCACCAGGGAACTTCCTGCAGTGGTGGCACCAGTGGAAAAATGGGAATATTTTTCAGAGTGGGCTATTGGGACAGCAAAGGGGCAAAACCCACTGAGCATGTGTAGCACCCGGAGGTTCCTGCACCTCTTCAGTGCGAGTAATTAATTTAATCAGCCCCAAAACTAAGAGCTCCCACTTTGAACCCTCAGCGTCGCTGTCCCTTCTCCTGAGTGGCAGCTGGAGCAGCTGGAGACGGAGGATGAGGGAAGTTCCTTTTAAAGGAGCTGCTCCCCGCTTTTGGGGGTAAGGCACAACTCTTCCTCACAGGAAGGAGCTCTGTACCTGTTCAAAATTTCTCCCCCCGCCTTCATTCCAAAGGTGTAAATGCCCCCATCTGCCAATTCTAAAAAAATAAAGGGAGAAATATTTTAATTATGGTTAATAGGCCTTGGCATCCTTGTATTTCCTTTGTGGTTTCTGAGATTTTCCATTCACTTGGAGGAAAATTCGGGGCATTGGAAGTAGATGACTTTTAAGGTCCCTTCCAACCCAAACTGGTTTATGATTCTGTTTCTGTGATTTCTCTGTCCAAAACTATAACCCAGTTCTTCCTTCTCTGCCTTAGGAAAATCAACCAAACAATTCACAGTTGATGTTTTTCTCAATTAAAAAACAACCAAACAAAAATAAACCCAACCCCACAAACTACACTAAAAGAAGTAGTTTGACCACCGTGGCTGTTCACAGAGGCAGTTCTGGTTGGGTTTTAGTCCTAAATGTTATATTAATAGCTAAAAAAATTTTCTTTAAGCTTTTTGTCCCCAATTTAGCCCATCACTGAGTTCTCAGAATGCAGCTTACACGCTGGCAGCCCAGTCTGCAGGGCTGTGATTTCTATTTGTTAACAGAGTATTTATCCTGTTATTTCTGTGACAAAAGACCCCCCCTCTTTCTCTTCTGTCAGAGGTGTTAATGAGAGCACTTTTCTGATTACAGTCCTGCTGCATTGGTCAAAAGGGTCTTTCAAATCAGTGTAATCTCCTCCCAGGAAGGAGAGGAGAAAATGGGCCCAATTTCTCCCGCAGCCCATTTTGCCACGGGGAGGGGGGATTGTTTAGTCCTTAGTTCTGTGCAGCTGGGTCCAGCCAGAGCCCTTTTTTGGGACAGGTTCCCCGAGCAGCCCCTCTGCTGAGGGGGGCAGGTGTTGCCTTTCTTGTTTGCTCGAGAGAGAGGATATTAAATGTTCTGCCCGCTGGCCCTGGGCAGGGTGTGGGCACAGCCAGACAGCACGGGCAGAGCTGGGAGCTGAGGAGGAAGGATTTGGGAAATTATGAGGAGGACCCTGCTAGCACTGACCTAAAGAACTAGAACTAAATACCATTTAATCACAATGACATGCAGCAATCAAAAAGCCAATGTCTCTGCCCTCTGCATCTTTGCTAGAATTTACACCAAGGTTAGCTGTTCACCAATTCACTCCAAGGCATTCACACCCTTGCAGAGCTTGCCAAGGCTCTGACATCTATTCCAGGTTACAGTGGCAATTAAATAAAAATATTTTCACTAAATATTTAGGGCATAAGGTGAAAAGGAAAACTCATTCTTGCCCTAGATGTTGGAGAAAAAAAAGGAAAAATCCCAGCAGTGACATTAGGAGCTTGCGAACAACCAAAGCTAGTGCTTCTGAAGTATGGCTTCATGCAGGACTGGTACAAAGTATGGCTTCATGCAGGACTGGTACAAACAAGCTGAAGGAGTGGCTTACTTCAGCCTCAAATCTCTCTCCATTATGCAGAAAGACACAGTTTCCTGGCTCATCTACTTATGGGGATACTTAACTGCATGTGAAGACGAGATCCCACACGGTCTGCCACATGGAAGGACTGGCTGCACACTGAGGAGACCTCCATGCCCACAGTGCTACTCAAACCAAGCTAGCCTGAGTTTCACCAGAGTTTCACAGTGTCCAGTGATCCTCAAAGGGAGATATGCATTTGCTCAAAAGCTTTGCCATGGAAATACTTCCTCTCATACTTCCATTTTTGAAGTTGTATAGGAAACAAACTGCCCGCAACCAGTCTGCTGATTGACAGACTTCCACTTTGCATTCTCTTCACATTAGTAGCTCTACATCAAGGACTTGGAAGTCCTGCCTATAGCAGGTACACCCCATTTCACAACCTGACTGACTTTCAGAACCCACTTACAGCTGGGGGAGTCACACATGCAGTGCACAGAACCAAGACGAGGTTTAACTGGCAGCAGCTAGATAAGGAGACATGACTGCTGCTGGCTACAAAGAAAAAGTCTTGTATATAGCTAGTTACAATCACTTACTGAAATTTTGTCAATCCCTACCTCAAACAAATTAGCAAAAACTAGCTGCCTTATGTGCTTATTTGCAGCTAGATAAGAAGGCCCAAGTGTCAGCATCATTAAATCTCTTTCGTGGTCACTGAACAGACAGACCTAGAGGTCACTATCTCACCTGCAAAGGTCATCATCTCACCTGCAAAGGTCATTGACACAAAGCAGACACAGATTTAAAGGAATGGGATTTATGCCAAGGCTTTGCAATCACTTTCATCAGCTGTTTACAATGAGAAACCAACTTTTGCATAAAAGCCTCAGGGGCATACATGAGTTATCTTTCAGCAGCTCTACTAAAGGAGAAGTTTGCTACAGAAAAGAGACAGGGCAGTTAGCTGTGGAGTAACATTTTAAATAGTTTCAGCACAATCTTCTCGATACTTGTGCACTGCAGGAACATCTGTTCCACCACCAAGGCAAAACAAAATGTATCTTTAGAATGCACAGCTGTGGAGTACTCCAGCTCAGTTCCTTGCCTTAGGTTGTTTTACTGCAGGGCTTTACGCTAAAGCAAAAATTCCTCCAAGCCCTTCAGGAGATAGAGCAATATTATTTCATATCGCATAGGATGTCCCAAAAGAAGGTCGGGTAAGACACAGGAAGCAGCCTCACGTTCCTCTGGGAGTTATGCAGACAGGGTTTCCTCCCTTTTTAGGGGACTTTCTTCTTCTTTAGTCCCTTTCTTCTGCCACCAAAAAACAATCTCGCTCTGATAAGATCTTTGGATACATCTTGCTGCTTGCAGTAAGGCCATGTGTTCACACTAGAGAACAGTCTCAGAGCTGCAAAGGTGTCATGTTCCTGCACTGATATCATCAAGAAGACTGGCTGTTTTTTTTCCAAGCCTGACTTGTTTGGGCTTTCTCCTTGCACAAGGCAGGTATGCACACGTGCATCTGAAACCAACATGCCACTGACTCATGCCTCTGTGGAAGTGAAAGGAGCCTGTAAAAATAGTCTCCACAGAAGCACCAAGAGGAGATTATGCCAGTTTATTTATCCCACAGGCATTTTAGCGTTGCTCTTTTACTCTGGAAGAATTGCATTTGAGGAACTGTCAGGTATTAGAAAACCCTGAGTTTCTAGAAAAATATTGTCCTTAAGAACCCCTTATGCTGAATAATCAGAGACCTGTGTGTCAGCCAACCTGTTTCATCTGGGTTTTACGACAGATCACCCATTTCTGCATTATCAGGATCCAGCACAGCAGCAGGAATGGGAGCCAACATCATCTGTTCTCAGGAAAGGCACCTCCTTTCAGCCTCTGCAGACTTTAGGTCTCCTTGGACTGGAGGTATGCAGACCCTGCATTCAGATACTTGTCCTTAAACCACACAGTGATATCTCTACTTGGTTCTGCAGTTCCACTCTGGTCCCCCACCAACATTGTAGTCATCACAACACTAATTGGCCTCCTTTCCATTTTAGTGGCCATGGAAGCATCAGCCCTCTTGGGTCAGGCATCTCTCTCACCAGAAAGCATCAAGCAATGCTGGCTTTCTCCTAGACCTTAGTGGTTCATATACCACCACCCTAATCTGCTTCAGGTTGACCTCTGACATGCAGGGTCAAACACAGCTTATTTATGTGGACAAAGCTTCAGATAAAACTAAGTGTTAAGGTTCTTACAATAAATGAAATGCCAAAGGGCTGGTTAAGCAGCCTATCACTGTGCAAAGCTTGTTGCTTAGAATTATGCCACCTACCACAGTTTATATTTGGGGTTTTACAGACTTCAGCAGTCTTTATGTTTTTTTTTAAGGGTACTGCTGACTGACTGGACTTGTACCCAACCAACACTCTCTATTTGTACAGGTTCGACAATCAGGCTTTATTCATTCTGAGAAATTTAACTGAAAACCAC